TTTTATATTTATTTTTGTCAGATGGTGATGACAGCGTTATGGGTCAGGTCGATTAAAAATGTAATTTTTTAAAAACTGTTGCAACTGTGTGCCTGCACCTTAGCATCTTTTCATTTTCAAAACATTATTTGTCATATTTACATAAATAAGTTTGAGATATAATAAAAAAAAAATTGGGAAAAATTAAAACCCATTTTGTCACTATTCTCAATAATCACTGATTTGTTAAAACTGACGCTGTCATGACAATATGGTTTGAAACCGATAATCTGTGAAAAAATGTATCTTCTCTCCTCCCTCCCAGTGCTAACTAGAAACAACCAGTCAGAGCCAGGAGGAGGGTCTAGCTCTGTCAATCATACTTGTATATATGCTGCTCCTCATTGTCCTCTGCTAAGCTAAAGCTTCTTCCCGATAGCAGTCTGCCAGGAATGCTAAGGCTAGTTAGCATTGTCAATGATAACAGAGGAGCAGTTTTCCTGGAACAGTAAGTTGCTTCTCCATTAGCACATTGACCATTGCATACATGAGTGTGATTAACAGCACTAACCCCCTCCTCCTGACTCTGATTGGTTGTTTTTGTTGGGCAGCAGTATATTTCTTCAGACAGCATTAGCAGTATTTTCATAGATTGCCTGTCTCATGTTATATTGTCACAACATGGTAACAGTTTTAATAAATATGTAAAAAAAAAAAAAACATTTTTAAAAAATAAAATTTACATTTTTTAGCTTTAACATAAGCTTCCTGCTTATGTTAAAGCTTCCTGCTTCTGTTTTATTTCCCCCATTGCATAGGAAGTGTAAATTGACAACAACAGGACCTTGGCGGGAAATTCCACCAATCCCACTGAGTGATGTCACAATCCTGCCTTGTGCTGCTCAGAGCAGCGTGGATACAGTTCCTGTGTGGGCCATCAGCAACAAAGGAGACGTCCTGTGTCGACTGGGAGTCACCCTGCTGACACCTGCTGTGAGTTACTAATGTGTAAAATTACACTCAATGCACCAGCCTGACACCTTATGGGTATCCATAACAACCACTTCAATGAGAGTTTTCTAACTCTCATTGAATATATGAGGGTAATATTACTGTTAAAGGTTACTGTCTGCTCTCTAAATGCTTTAATCAGACATTAATGGCAGAAAGCTCTGGGGCAAAATGAGGGAACGTAGATTACAGTAACCAGGTGATCAAATGATATTTGGCTAATAGCAAGACAGCTCCAAAAATGAGAAGACAGTGAAAACCGTTCAGTAATTTTGTCACTCATTATACAGAGAGTAAAATAACTATTTAACACAGGGGTGTCAAACGTATGGCCCGCGGGCCGGAACCGGCCCGCCGAACGATTTAGTCTGGCCCGGGGGCTAAATGCATTATCATTATTCATGAAAAAACATATACTTCGTTTAATTGAAAATCTGCAG